TTGCTCTTAGGTGGGACATACTAGTTCAACCCTAAAGACACATGTACAAGGAACACATTCAATGACTTTCCACACACCACTATGCTTTTTCTCTTCCTCTCTTCTCCTTTCCACAGATTAAATCATTATTCTAAAGTAATTTATACTCTTTTACCTTCAGGAAAAATTTTGGATTCCTTAATGAGTCTTGCATGTCCTTAGGTGTTAGTCCCACTTTCCTTTTCTTTAGACAGCAATTGCCAGTTACTGTTCTCTGCTTCCTAATTTTACAGAGTTAGTTATACATTTAGATTTCCAAGTCTGGGCTGGTCCATAATATTCTTATAAACCTGGGAAAAATTATTAATTGATAATTTCCCCTCTTCAAAGATACATAATGTAAGTGCAGAAATCCTCTCACTGGTATGCTAGTAAGAAAGAAGTCCACTCTAGGGATAGATATTTGTAATTGTTACAAATACCTGCGTGGAAAGATATGCTATCAGTCAAATTTTATTCAGTGGCAGAATTAGATTTAGTCAAACCTGTGACGTTAGTTATGAATAAGGAGTACGTAAACATCAAAATAGGGTGTGATATGGAGACTCTTCCGAGTAAGCTTACCTATAGACCCCCAAAATGAAATAAAAAAGATGTTTTATCATAAAAGAGCAACCTAGGTTGTTCAAGTTATTCATAACTACAGCCAGGAGAGTATTATTTTCCTAGAGCTATTTTTGCTTTTAGGTGGAATTTGTAGCTTTTTGGAAAATTACGTTAAAATAGAGACAAATGGAGTTAATGTTGAACATGCCATGTGCAGTGTTTCTGCTGCAAGTATCTGCAAAGCATCTCATGTTCCATTTCAACCCTGACATTTTTAGTTCGGGTATCGGCAGAAATAAATGCATTCGGTTTTCTAGGAGTTTGCAAACTATTAACTATGTATATAACCATTTCAACGAGAATAAAAAGTCCACATTGTCATTGGAGTCTTGTAGATATGGCATGTTTTCCTTTTAGAAACTGCGCAGTATATCTCAAAACTACACACAATGTGTCACAATATATTACACCAAACAACAACATAGTTTTGTGATATCATTCCTGTTATTAATAGCATACAAAAATTAAACCTGTGAGTTTTTTTTCCAGGGAAAATGCATTTTCAGAATTTTTATTCATGCCAAATGCCAGCTAGAAGGTTAGGTGATAACAGATATCAAATTTTGAAAAGGGACTAAAATTTTATAAAAAGTTTGACTTCCAGGAATAAAGTGAATTTTTCATATCAAGCAATAAGAATTTCTGTCAACCATCTGTTTGAGGAGTGTACTTGTCTTTCCTTCTCTCATTCACGTTTTTCTAACCACATCTGTTCATCTTGATCTTGATGAAAAAAACTGAGTTTGGGGGATGAAAATATGAGCAGTGCAGATTTCTCAGTGCACAATACAACAAGACTGGGGGAAAAGTTGCATGCATGTACTTTGCTTCTTTTAGTGAGGAAAACTCATGTAAATAAAAATGGTTTAAGGGGAGTGATGTGGAATGGTACTGTGAAAAAAAGTTCTTGTCTAAGAAAAATCAGTCTTAGACCTTTCCAAGAAACTTTGGCATTCGTGACAAGAGGAACTTTGAATATTTCCAAGAAGCATTACAAGAAATTATGTTTACCAACACAGCTGAAGCATGAAATTGGAAGAAATCTTTAAATATTGGGAGAGAACCAGACTACTTTGAACTTATTTGGCTTTGATTCTTCCCTTCCAAAATCAGTCCAGTGATAACATTAGGAGGAAGGGATTTTTTTTTATACCCACTGATGGCTTTTAATATAGCCAGTTGGCATTGGAAAGGAATACATTTTCAAAAAATGAGTGCTCAGTTACCTTGGTTTGCAGACCCACAGTGGAGGCAATCAGCTGAAATCATGGTCTTTTTGCATTAGGTTTTGCTTTTAGAGAAACCCTGTGGATGTAAAAATTTGACAGAGGCTTCTGATCCCACTCTGTTGCATAACGATTTTGATCAAAGTTGATGCCAGCAGTTAATAATCATGAAAGAAGTCTGCTGTATGAAAGTACTATGATGTTTGCAATCTTCAGATTGTGGGAACTATCTCTATATAAGGCAAAGATCAGGTAAAGCCAATCGATGCTAGACAACTTGCCCTGAGGTTTGGACTATGTGATATGGGACATTTATCATCAAGCTGATTTTTTATCTACAAAATGAGCCCTTACTATTAGTTATTTAAGGAATATTTACTACATGAAATATGCTTAATACCTGGTTCATGGTAAATTCTCAGTGAATGTTAATATTATTTACTGTTATGATTATCAAAGTCCTATGGGCCAAATTGTCTCATTTAATACTTCCATTTAATTATTTTAAAATAATCAAGTCCAGATGTAGCTGCATGTATTTTGGATTTAAGTAAATCCAAAATGTAAAAAGTTAAATATAATTGAGGGGGGGTATGTTAATGGAACAAAACGTTCTGTTTTAATTTTTAAAAATGCCAGTTGCAGCAGTGTAGATAAGCTTAGATACAGGTGATAAAGAGATGATGACAGAAATACAAATCTGTATGAATTTACTTATGTGCAGAATCTGATATGTCAGACACTTACATGACAGTGGGTGCCTGGACCTGGGTATTTGTGGAAACAAAGATACAGTCCTTGCATACAGTCTGTAAGTTATAAGAGGAATACATTTTGGGAGTCTTGATATACAGCTTGGGCTGTAGAGCACGTGTTTATTAGTTTGTGGGAATCATAGCTCTATCAAATGTTTCATTCCTTAAAATACATACAATCTTAATTAAAACATAATTTTTATGACTGTGATATATCTTGACTGGGTATGCCAAAATGTCTTTCCTTAACTTGCAGATATCAATTCTGGATATAATTAGTTCAAGTTGATGTGTGCCTACAGAATTGGCCCAACACAAAAGCCACGTAGCTTTTAATACTCAGATCAGTTGAGAATTTATAGAATATCTTCCTTTATATCCTTATTCTTGGCAATAGACGAGACTATGGGAATCTTTGCCGTGTTTTCCAAAAACAAAGGGAAATGAAAATGTTGAGTGTAGGAAATGGGAGCTGATGTGCTGTCGTTAGAATTTGGTTTCAAGAATCGGACATTTAAGGGCTGGTCTTTCCTTATTTAGCTCTTTCAGGCAAGTTACTTGTCTTGAACACTTCAGTTTTGACATGTAGAAAAGTTACTAGTAGTATATGTCACAAGATTGCTGTAGGTATTAATCCATGTACACCATGTAACTTATAGTCTTGCCTCTTGTAAGTGATTAATAAATGTTCATTATTTTCATAGCTTGCTATTTTATTGATTCTTGACTGGGCTGTTGCAATAATTTTCATTTTTTCTTAAAGTAAGGTGCTGATAGGGTCATAACTTTCAGCTTCCCATGAGATTAGGTTTATATAATTAATAACTGACAAAATGCATAGAACTGAATTTACAGGAAATAATTTGGGAAATTAAAAACAACATTTTCATAAGTAGATGAAGTAATAATTGTATATTGGCATTACTAGTTGAATTTTGAAGTTACATTTTCTGTAATAGAAGCAAGTTGAAGAAAATACTTCTATATAGGCAATTAACTCCTAATTCTATAGTGTTATGCTATAACAGTTTTGAGGCTACCAATGAACTTCACTTACATATTTTAAACATAGTGACACTTATGTTCTCATTTAAGAACCAGTTAAGTAATAGGAAGTCTGATACATCCAGGTAGTGGTAATGTTCAATTGCCAGCTTTTAAAGAACTCAGTGTTCAACTTTAGAAAATTAGAGCCATTTTGTCTTTGGATGAATTAAAACTTTTCAGGACATTTTTATATCTGTTTTTCAACATTGATTCATTTATTGAGTAAGCAATGAGGGGGGAGAGCGAGAGAATATCAAGGAGAGAGAGAGAAGGAGAGAGAGAGAGATCTTCATTCATTGGGTTGCTTTACAAATGGTTGTAAAGTCCAGGCCAGGAGTTTCACCTGGGTCTCTGGCACACGTGGCAGAATCCCAAGTAAAGCGAAGTTGTCAGAGATCATCTTTCATTGCTTTCCCAGGTGCATTAACGTTAGACTGGATCACAAATGGTGCAACTGCAGCCTGAACAATTACTCATCTAAGATGTAAGCCACTGTACTGCAATGCCACCCCAAGGGAATCTACTTCTTAAAAATAGTACAGCCACATAGAACAATCGTGTTCTAGTAAGGCAAACATTGTATTGCAGTGGTTTATATGGCATAAAAGCATAAATGAAAACCTGACCATGGTAAATCAGAGGCTTTTGGTCACTAAGAGCTTAACGAAAGGAATTGGTATTTTTAAATTCAGGTCCTGACCTCGATAACTTTTAGGGTTTAAGTAAGTACATCAAAGTTAATGACCATATTCCCACCACTGCAACTACAGCTATGAAAAAATGGCAGGAATAATAATCACATGAAACAAAATGTAATAAAGAGGCAGATAAGGCTACTGACATACTGGGTTGTAGTTGCCAATTGCTATCCTCTTGTCTGCTTTTTCTTTTCTCTTTTTCATTCCCTTGTCCCCTCCCCAAAATCAATCCTTCAGTGATGTATGTCTGTTATCAGACAACTCTGTAATGCACAGTAGGGAAGATTCAAGACTCAGACCTGGAAAGTGTAATTCCTTTTTCTTTTGCTTTCCACAGTGTTTTCCACTCACAGTCACTCTCTAGCAGTTCATGTTCTAAACATGGGTCATTTCTCCAGGAAAATACGGGAGGAAACATTTAATTTATAATCAAAATTTATTTTCCTAAAAAGGCATTACAAATACTATATTCTCAGGAGTAGGATTATATGGCACTACTGAGTTGTGGCATAAAATGAGCTATGTAGTCAAGGGGAGGCTTTACATTTACCGTCAGATACTATACTCAAAACATTTGGTAACCCTTATTCTTTCTTACACCTGTAGTATTGGAATCATTATCTACTTACTGGATGGAGCTTTCAATGCGAGTTATAGTAAGGAAAGCAGCAAGATTTGCTGTGTATGATGAAATGACAATCAAAGCAAACAGCCACCAAGCCCCCATCATCATTCGGGTAGCCAGCGTAGTATAAGGGACCTCCCCACCTGTGGAAAGAATCAGATTGAAAGAACGTTTATTTAGAATCTGAATGCATGTATGTTCAACATCAGATCAGCTTTTGCATAGTGACAGATTTTTATACTTAACAACTACTAGCATAGGTCTGTACATTTTCATCATTTATATATTTTTTTCTCATGAGACTATGGGAGACTAGGTCAAGAAGCATGATAACGACTTTATGTAGCACATTGAAATGACTGTTCCTCCCCACTTTATCCTTGAATTAATTATCCTCTTATTACAATCATAGCTATATACTTTCATTCCTAGAGCTTGATTATTCATTAGGTGAAACTCATCCTACTATGCCTATACTAAATATTAATCTTACAGACTCACAAATCATGTAAAAATTAGGCTTAAATTCCCTAGAAAGACAAGTTCTTAATGACCTTGGGATGACACATACCATGAATTGCTTTAGCATAAAGTATTTGTTTTCTTCATGATTGGCTACCTACTTTTTAAAACTGATTGCAGAATTCCCCCCTCTGTCTTTTAAATATTTGTGCCCCTGGGCTCACTGGGTTCAACCTTGAACTTTGTTCTGTTTCTGTTCATATTTTTATGCTGAGTAACCACAACAGTCACTTGACTGAATATTATTAAAGATTTATTTATTTTTATTGAAAATGCAGAGCATATTTACAGAGAGAAGGAGAGACAAAGAGAAAGATCTTCCATTGGTTCACTCCCTAAATGGCTGCAGTTGCTGGAGATGAGCTGATATGAAGCCAGGAGTCAGGAGCTTCTTCTGGATCTCCTATGCAGGTACAGGGACCCAGGGCTTTGGGCAATCCTCTATTGCCCTCCCAGGCCATTAGCAGTGAGCTGAATTGGAAGTGGAGCAGCTGGGATATGAAATAACACCCATATGGGATCCTGGTGCTTGCAAGGTGAGGGTTTAGCCATTGAGCCATCATGCTGGGCTCTCCACTCTATCTAGAAAGCTATAGTAAATGCCTACATGTTTTGTACTTGGAATCAAATAGTCACCTCAACTGTCACACCTACCACACACAGTAAGATTTTACTCTGAAACTCATTCTTCTCCAGCTCAATTGACATTATGTCTTGGAATAGCAACATTATTCATATTAGTTGTCAGATGAAAAATAGGAATTTGCCAGTATCTCATTCAATAACACGTCATGTTGCAATTATCTTCAAATCACATTTCAAATTCTACCTCATTTCATCACTACAAATGCAGAAACTCATTTTTAATCCAATATCTTCTTTTAAGTATGCCATTTGACTCTGATGCATCTTCACTATTTACGCTCCACTATTTACACTTCACTATTTGTCACTCCAGAGAGAAGTGCCCAATTGTGAGTGAATGGATAAAGAAAACATGTTATTATCAGACAATAAATCCCTAATATTTTTAGATCAGATAAAATGTGGATCCATATATTTAAGTTAAATAAATCAGACACACAGATAGCGCACATTCTCTTTAATTTGTGGAAGCTTAAAAAATTGCTTGGTATGAATTTGGTATAGTGACTTCCAGAGACTGGTACAGGTGCAGGAAAGGGCCAGTGAGGGATATAGGGGGCTATAGGATAAGTGGAAGTAGAAAACGATGAGCTAGGAGCTGCAAGTTCTCATGTTCCAAGGCCCAGCAGGCTGAATCTGATTGACATTAATGTGTTTATATACTGTATGAGGAAGAAGAGATGAATGGGAAGGATTCAGATGTAAAGAAAACAGAAATATCAATTGCTGGATTTGATCAGTTCAGCTGTATATGGAAGCAGAAATGTACTCTATGCGATCTTTTAAATTACCCTAAAGGTTTGTTTGAAATTTGTTTTATAGAATTATGTCAGGGCTTATTCCATAGTGTTAGTACTTGTCATTTGCTATATCTGAAATTTTCTTCAATAACAAATGTGTTCTCCACTTAAGTTACAAAGTTTTATCTTCAAAGTATATCTTTTCACAAAGACCTCATAGATGCTACAGCTTAGCTCAGCCTGCCTCATGCTCAGACCTGGCCAAAGTGTATGGAAGTGGCCGCTACTGCCTTGACCAGCCATGCTCATCCATTGCCCTGGCTCTCATGCTCACCCGTGGGGATTGCAGCCCAGTATGGAAGTGCCTACAATTCTCCCGCAAGGTCTATTCCCAGCCTGGATCACGGGTTTGGCAGGGGTACTGTGTCCAGCATGACATGATTCACACCCAGTACCAGCACTTGCCAGCAGATGCTACTGGTGAATTCCGTGATGTAGACTTGGTCAACCTATTACTACTCCTAGCTTTCCATTCAATCCAAAGTGTTTGTAATTCCACAGAAGCAAACTAACAAATCACCAGTAGAATATTACCCCCACACCCCCGATCTAGTTTTCTTGTAATCTGATGGGCGTGCAGCCCAGCCTAACATGACTAATTCCCTGCTCCAACACATCTAGGCAGGTAATATGGCCTGACTAAGCAATTTATGCCACCCAGTCCATTTTTGTGTGTGCTAATACGTGGCAGGCACTACTATTTAGCTCAGCCCATATCTCCCACATGGGCAAGTGCCTTGGTCTGACCCAGACATGTTCTCTAGTTTCGTGTCTCTAAACCACTCCATCAGCTCCCTCACCTATCTGTGAGTGCAGTGGCTCAGCCTATGGAAGACCTGGGAAGTCATTCCTTCATTGTCAAACGTGCCCTCAGACTTCTCCACTCCAGTACATTCCCAGACCTCCTTTGCCAGGCAGTATGCAGCCCCCTCATCCCAAAGTCCCTTCCTGGGGCCAGAGTGGCATGCCCTGGATCAGTGTGCTCCACTTTATTCACATATCTTAATAATAAAAAAGGAGTAGGCTAGACAACTGAGCTGGCATTGGCACACTAGTATAGTTAACACAAATTTAGCATTAACTAAGCCCAGGATGCCCGCCAGCTATTGGCTGCTTTCCTCAAAGCAGTGTAACACTTTCCTAGGTGCAACACAATCCAGGCAGTTGCCTACAGCTGGAGTAGGGATTTCACAACAATGCTGACAATGACAGAAACTAGACAATTTGAGCATAAAAATTATTTTCAGGGCCAATGAGGTAGAAAAGAATGATTCTACTGGAATTTTACAGGGGAAGATAATTCAGAAAGATGATCTGGTATTTGAACTGCTTTTCTCTGAGAGGCATAAGCCAATTAGAAATGAGAAATGAGGCTGGTTCAATGGCTCAGTGACTAAATCCTCACCTTAAAATCATGGGGATCCCATATGGGCACTAGTTTGTGTTCTGCCTGTTCTACTTCCCATCCTTCTACCTGCTTATAGCCTGGAAAAGCAGTAGAGGATGGTCCAAAGCCTTGGGGCCCCGTACCTGCATGGGAGACCTAGAAGAAACTCCTTGCACCTGTCTTTGTATCAGCTCAGCCCTGGCCACTGTGGCCACTTGGGAGGTGAACCAACTGTTGGAAGTTCGTTCTCTCTGTCTCTGCATCTTTCTGTAAATCTCATCTGTCTTTCCAATAAAAATAAATCTTAAAAAAAACCTTCAAAGGTCAGGTGGTTACTAAAATTGAGCCCAAAGTTTATCTAAGGAGGAAGTAGGACTAAGAAATGTAGAAATTCCCTGCATGGTTTGGAAAATTAGAAACAAATTTCTATTAGACTGTAGCTCAAGGAAGACAATTTAAGAGCAATAAAAATATTCCAATCTGGACAATAAAAGAAACAATAGCAAAATTCCAAACTTTCTTCTTTTTTTCAAAAATTATGTTCTATGGTACATTGTTAGGTATAGGGTATCTCCTCTCTGCTTTCTCCCTCCCCATCTTCTCCTCCTACCATCCCCCCCCACCATTATTACAGTAGTATAGCCTTTTAGTTACAATTCCATGTTTAACATTCTGCTAAGTTATATTATGGCATTGCGGGTATAGGCATTGCTAGAAAAAATCTAGCATCAAATTGTCAAGGTATGTTTAACAGTTTCAGTGGGATCTTCCTTTTGTTTGAGGGTAGAGATACATACTGCAGTGTATCTTTATTTGCTGATATGCTAGTCTCTATCATACAGCTCATCTATTAGAATATATGTATATGCATGTTTATATATCTTTTACATTTTGTATGGAGGTTGCCTTATATTAAAGAGAACATATGATATTTGTCTTTTGGGGGCTGGTTAGTTTCACTGAGCACAATGCTCTCCAACTGGGACCATGGCAGGGTTTCATACTTTTTAATGGCTAGGCAGTATTCCATGAAGTAGAAGTACCACAGTTTCTTTATTCACTGTTCTTTTGAGGGGCTTCTGAATTGCTTCTATGCCTTCACTATTGTAAATTGTGCTGCTATAAATATAGGAATGCAAGTCTTGATGGCTGATAACAATGCAGCTAAATTTCTTGGGAGGGAAATTGGCAGCTTATAATATATGAGAAAAGAAAGCTAAACTAGATGAGCTACTTGTCTGGAGAAGTTGAGATATCAATAGGTTAAACCTAAGCAACATAAAAGTACTGAGTTCAGAGCAAAAGTTGATAAAAGACAAAACTACAGTGTTGATTAAACAAAAGTTTGATCTTTTTTTTTAAACACCTAAATAGCTGTTAAGGCTGCTCAAGAAAAGTGAAGCCATCAAGAAATACAGTAGCTGACATTAATATTATTTGGGTAACAAGAAGATCTTAAGTATAATTTTATGCCAACGAAAAATTTTTTAAAAGATTTAATTATATGAGTTTCAGAGGAAAGAGAGAGAGACAGAGCTTCCATCTGCTTGTGGACTCCCCAGATGTTCACAGAAGCTTACAGTGGGTCAGACTGAAACTAAGAGTTGGATCTGCATCTGCTACATGGGTGGCAGGGGTTCAAGCACTTGGCTGTCTTCTGCTGTTTTTCCAGGTCATTACCAGGGAGTTGAATTAGAAGTGAAAGAACTGGGATATGAATTGGTACCCATGTAAGTTATTAGTCTTGCAGGTGCAAGCTTTACATGCTAAACCAGAATGCCAGTCTTCT